GCATCCCTTTAACAAGGTAGAAGCCCAATATGTCCCCATACATACCCCGTGACCCTAAACCCTGAACCCTTCGGTCGGCTGCTTCTCCCCCGTTCGGGCAGACGTAAAAGTCCGGAGGGCTTTCAAAAAGAACCTGAACCCTAAACCCTAAACTCCAACCCTGAACCCTAAACCCCCAAACCCTTTACCCTGAACCCTAAAAAAGCATTAATTACACATGTAACACACAAAATGCTTTGCACCCAGAGCAGAGGCCGCTTTGCCGCCGCAAGGCCGCTAGCACCGGCCCTTGGGCCGTCCTTGGAGGCCGGTTTAGGAGCTTAAGGCTGAACGTACACCCATGAGTAATAAACCCCCTCGTTTTAAAGGCCTTAATACTAGGATCCCTAATATAATCCCTATAAGCGAGGGGATTTCTAGGGCTTGCAATGGTTTAGTAGTTTCTGCAGCTTTCGCGGGGGTTGGGGGTTGAAGGAATCAAGGATCAGACGTTTAAGGGTTTCAGTATTTAGGGGTTTGGGGCTGGGTGAGGAGAAAGGTTTCGAACACCAAGGTCAGATGGCTCATGGAGGATGCTGCGGACATTGCATGTAGGGGCCTGGGTTGCTGTTAAGGAACTTACTTTAAGTTGCTATAATGAGGAGCCCCTATTGTTTGCTCTACTCCCAGATTATTTTTACGGTAGCTTAAGTTAAGTTCTTAAGGACAATCCAGGTTAAGCTGAATGCGCAGTACTCGGTTTGACCTTCACTCACTTGGTAGCGTGGCCATAGCATTTCACCGTGCAGGGGGTAATGTGGTGTCCTGGTGATGGTAGCCAGGTAGTAGGAGGTTGCATCAACCTTGTGCTGCGACGTGCTGCATTGGCAGTACCATTCTCTAGAATGGCCCCTCGACCCCTGACGGCCTGCCTCTGTCAAGTATTGGACTGTGGAACCTTCTTGATGATAGACAGGACACCCTGCATCCAACTGACATGCAGCATGTGAGCCATAATCAAAACTCCTCAAAGGGTGTTATATAGAGGACTACTACAGGGATTCTTGAGGGGATACTAGGAGCTTAGACTGTGGCTTCTGTGCATATTTCAGACCCAAGTAGATGCTTCATGAGCCTCCATGATAGCGGGCAAAGTATCCAACCTGACAATTTCTAGAGGTTTCCTCGAAACAATTGGGGGGGTTCCGATTATTTACCCGATTACGGGGTCCCCAAAATAAGGATTATAGTATATGTTGGGGTCAATATTGGCGTCCCCTTGTTCTGGGAAACTGCCACTTTCTAGTTCTTGTTTCACCATCCATGCACAGCTGGAATCCCTCAACCCTAAACCCAAAGCCTAAACCCTAAACGCAAAGCCTAAACCCCAAACCCAAAGCCTAAACCCTCAAAATTGTTTTTGGGAGCAGGTCTTGGCTTCAGCCCTAAGCACAGTTCAGCCCATGGCTCTGGACTATGAGTGCCCTAGGGTTTAGGGTTTTGGGGTTTAGGATCTAGGGGGAGGTTTGGGGTTTAGGTTTTAGGGTTTGGGGGTTTAGGGTTTAGAGTGCCCTTTGCCATAGTAGCAGGCTCTTTCGTGTTCAAAGCCCACCATACTTGCAGCTTCGGTGATGGCAGGGGGGATCAAAAGACTGGGTTGCTGTTCAGGAACTTGAGTCAAGTTGCCGTCATATGGGTATATAATGGCAAATAGTACGGTTTCCTTTGTAGTAATTTAGTTAAAGTTCCTTAGCAGCCACTCAGCAAAGTTATTGACCTGAGCATTCCTTGAGGTCCGCTTTGATGGGATAACTTGCCACAGCCAGAGGTAGCAGTTACCTGCGAAAGAGTGAAATGGGTGTCATGTGTATTGGTGGGGCCACTTTCAACTTTCTGAGAAAGATTGGATGATAAGAAACACATGGCAGCTTGCTCTAAGGGATGCTGATTGTGGGCCTGACTAGATAGTTTACATAGTTCTGACTGGTGAAAATGTGTGCCAGTCACCTCGTGGTTGAGTGTCCCTTGATCGTAGTGTCTGTCAGTATCCCCAGGACACTCCTTGTTTTGGGCATCTGCCAATGGATGCCCTGTACTGGCTCTTGTGTAAGCAGCAGCAGTTGTTGCAGAAGCGGGCGAACGATACCACTAACCGCCATCACCATTGCATGGTGCTGCCACCACCGCCACCATGACCAGCTCCACCACCACGAAGTCCCGCGCCAGCGTTTGGGAATGGATGTCTTCCCCTATCATATCTGTCCAGTGGACAGGTTATATTCAAGCTTTTTGGATAGTAGAAAGCCCCAACACAGCCAAGGGGTTGACCTGAAAACGCTTTAGATACTTGACAATTTACGCGTCGCTATCCTTTCCGGCACTACTGTAAAGCCAGCTTTCGTCCTAGACCCAAAAGCCTTCCAACGTATTTTCGAGTCAGGTACGAGGTGACTTGTGAGTTGCCGCCGCAGAAGGCGCCAACACCGTTTGAGCTGGCTGCAGCTTCTGTTGGGTAGGCGTGTACTACGCACATAAGCACGATGCCCATATCTTGCTCTGCGCTGTAGAGTACAATTGGGTAAGGGTTCCCTCAAGCTTGTACAGAAACTCGGCTGCTACCATGCCGTTCAAAAGCAGGAACACCCGCATACAACAAAAACCTCTCAATCGTCTCAATCGATATTCACCTGCTCTTACGATATGCTCCCAGGAAAGATTCCTAGAAATCATATTGTTGTTTTTGCCGTTTCTACAAGTGCTAGTGCTGTAGCGCCATCCACAGGCCTGCGCCACAAAGGCTCCATCTTGGTTTGGGGATCACATACCCTCAATTCTCCAAACCTAAACTATAAATCCTAAAACCCTGTACATCTGGCAGGTCGGGGAGCTTGGCAGCTTAGAAGAGTGATGCTATATTCCCAACTGCCCCTATATATAGATATATATCATAGTAGTTTCCATTTTCTTTCCATTATTCCTATATTTCCATTGCCCCTATATAAATACACACCATATAGTCCCTATGTTGGGGGAGAAACCCCTAAACCCTAAACCCCTACAACCCTAAACCCTACACTCTAAACCCCTAAACCCGAAACCCCTAAACCCTAAACCCAAGGGTAAAACCTGCTGGAGGTGAGTGCCATGATCGGCCCAGGAGGGCAGATCGTGAGAGTGGCCCGGCGAAACAACCAGGGTTTCAGGCTTATTAATTTTTATTACAGTAAAAACCCTGTGGAAACATAAAAATGTTGGTTTAATTATAGGTCTAAGGAAAGTACAGATCAGAGATACCCTTCAAGTTGGGATTTCTGGGACGTAGAGGGCGATCCCTGCAAGGAGTATAACAGATCAGAAGACTGCGAAGATGGCGGTTCGGGGGTTGGGAGATTCTCAACCCCCTTTACACGCTTGTGTGGGAGAAGTATTTCAGAGGGCGGAACTGCAGGATGCAAACACGAGCATTGAAAGCTGGACGCACAATACAGTTCTGTTTTGCAACTCAGGACAGGAATTTCGCGTAAGGTTCCCAGAAGGCTCGCGGAAGCTTCCCGGAAGGCGAAGAGCAATTTCCAAGACCGTGGACCACGTGAACCGTTGCAATTGCAAAAGGTTGCAAGCAGAAAACGTCAGCAGCTTTTCCTCATCCTGCAGTATTCCATGAGCAAGAGATATTTCGTGGAAGGGAAGAGGTTCGCGGAAGATTCGTGAAGCAGCAATTAGCAAGATGCAAATAGGGGACACACTGGGCAGCAGAAGGGTTTGTTGCGTCATGGGAATTTGGAATCAAGACCACCGCTCATTTGGGGTATGACCCCTAATTTGGAGATACCCACTGGGCTCCCCGCTGAACTTACTAAGTTGTTAAAGGTTCCCGGTCAGAATTGTCCCAGTCACCCCTACAACTATAGAGATTGTTCATGGGGATGTATGGGACATAGAGGGAGCGCCTCAGGTTTTCAGGGGTGAGACAGTATTCAAAATATTTTGGGGCGTGAGCGCCGATTTGGGATCAGAACACAATCCAATCCGTGTACGGTGGATTGGCGAGGGCCCCTCAAGTAGTTCACTTTGTCTGAAACTTCATGATGCGTTACTGTCAGTGATGCTCGCTCAGACTTCATGATCCCTACAGTAGGCTTGCTTCTTTCATATGTGTAGGTTGACTGCAACCAAAAGAGCAGGATGATGTACCCGTGTGCTGTCCTGGGCTGGGATGGTGTACACATGATAGATCATCTTGTATTTGTTCTCGTGCCCAGTTCCAACAAACTCAGCAGCATGCCCCTAGTCTGCGCTCCATGTAGGTGGACACTTTCGAATTGATGTTCAGATGAAAGACGAATGTCTACACGTTTCTCATGCGGGACTTACACACTGGCTGTTGCGATAGACCAGAATACTATAGTAGTTTCCATTTTCTTTTCCATTATCCCAATATAACCCCAGTATATAACCCCAGTATATAACCCCCTAATACTATATCAGAGGCTCCAAGGCGACCAACCTTTCAGCATTGGGATAATGGAAAAGAAAATGGAAACTACTATTATGGCCATTGAACTCATTCAACCCTTGACCCCCCAACATGTGGGACTTTCTCAAGCAAATCCCAACATACTTCCAAGTGAAGACCCCTATGCTTGCCCTGTATTCTCTGTATCTCCAGGGTCCCCCAAGGGCAAGCCTCTCTTCAGAAACCCTCATTTCCTTTGCTCAGAATGTCCGCCAAACGACCGGCACCCACATCCACTTCGACGAGGTACCGCCTGGTGCCAGGCAGGACCTTTGCCTGGGGTTTCCTTCTAGAAGGCCTTACCATGGCGATGGAAGCAGGATCCATGTTTGAAGCATCAATTCACAAAAGCTTCGGCACACCTGTGCTTTGTTCGTTCTAGTGCTAGTCTAACTTCTGATCAGTTGGCATTTGCTGATTCAGAGGTGTACCTGGCTGCAAGCAAACTTGGTTCACAGAGGCAGAGAACTGCTAAACAGCTTTATCCGCTTCGCGCTGTTCTGCCATGATGCGGATGCTGCAGGTCTTCTCGCTTCTTGTGGTTGCCGCGCAGGCGCAGGCTCCCACGCAGACGATGCTGCGTCAGGCTGTGCTGCGTAAGGCGAACGAGCTCCTAAACAGCACCGTGGACGACACCCTCGGCTGTGTCAGCAGCTGCCCCATGGACTCCTCCACTCTGAGCCCGAGCCCTCTGTGCGTCCTGGGCAACTGCACCTCCACCTTGGCAAAGTGCCTCTTCTCTTCGACGTGCCGCAGCGGAGTCATGTGCGAGCTGCGCTGCACGGACAAAATTGCCAAGACGGTGGATGCTCTGCACTTCTCATCTCTCATGGAGTGCATGCGGGTGCATTGCCCGGGCTTCCCCCCAAGCAAGACCTGCGCGGCCTTTCACTGTACCAAGGAGGCTGCCGAGTGTGCCATTCACACCAAGTGTCGCGAGACCCTCGAGTGCGCCAACGGCTGCGTGCCTTCGAAGTATTCGGCAGCTCTGAACTTGGTCCAGGAGAATGTCCCTGTGGAAGTCTGAGCCTCAAATCACAGAGAGTCCCAAGGACTTCTCTGGAGTCAAGATCCGCGCCACCCGCGCCTTGACTGATGGATTTTCCGGACCCCTGGAGCAGGCTGAGTGAAGGCGCAGCCCCTCCGCGGCCCGTGCCTTGACCATCCCAACAACAAAGTGTTGCCAATAAAAAGCTCATTGCTGCCTAGCAGGGAAGAGGGGGGCATGGATTATGGGATGGCATACAGGGATTATAGGCTGTATATTGGGGTTATATAGGGATAATCCAAGAAATGGAAACTACTAAAGTTGGGGTTATAAGGGAGCTCTGTAGGAATGCAGCGCCTCATTTCCTACGAAGCAGCAGTTGGGCTACAGTCTGCCAAGGGATTCACCATGCCGCACATGCATGAACAGCAGTGACTCTTGTGATCGCGACCTCTCCCAAGTGTAGATTTTTTGCAGGCCCCAAACTTAATGGAAACCCTAGATAGCTTTGAAGGAGAAGATAGGGATATTGCCCAATGATGGAGAATCAAATGGAAAACGAAATGGAAACGGGGGGTATATAGAGGTTACCTTTGGTTCGCTGGGAATGAAGACATGGAGAAGAAAATGGAAACTATTATAATGGGTTACCTAGGGACCACTATACGGATCCATTCCTTCATTCCTAGCTAACCAAGGGTAAGCAAAGTACTCGTACCTTGTAATTGCGAGCTGTACCCCTGTTCAATCCTGCATGCTGCATACATCCCCCACTTCATCTCGCGCCAGCCCCTTCCTGCCAGGGAGCAGACGATGCGCATCAAGGGCCCGCTGCTGGGCGTCTATAGGCATGGATTACAAGACAGCTTTGTGTCCTCCTGCAGATGAGAGTATACGAAACGTGCAATGTATCTACATATTCACGATGTATCCTCTATGACAGACTTAATTAATGGTGATTGTTTTGAGGATAGCATTGGGATTGGGGGAGAGTTTCTCCACATGTTCCTGCAAAACCCCGACCCGTGCACGAAATCCCCCTACCCAGCTGAGGAGAAGCGCTTTGGCATGGATTATGGTTTTGCAGACCCAGCAATGAAATCCAAACCTCACTTGTGCGGCAGGGCGCACACGATGATGATGCAGAGGCGCCGGGGCAGTCTCTGCAAGATCCCAGTGTAGAATATATAATACAGGGGCATATAGGGTTATATTGGGTTTATATTGGGGTTATATAGGGATAATGGAAAAGAAAATGGAAACTACTATTTTGGATGTGCGTGGATGCGCCTCTAAACTTGCGGGTTCAGCAGACTCTAACAGCCCGAAGCTTGGGACAAATCTTCCTACCTACCAGATGTCGCTGTAAACCGGGTACTGACTAGGATACGTGTAATTGCAAGTTAATTTTGGTGACGCATACATAGTATAGCCCAACTTTACAGCAACTACCCGCAAACCTCAAAGTAAAGCTCCAACCTTACGTCCAAAAAGCTTTGAGACACCTCTTGGTTTTCGGCAGGTATCATGAGCACGAGACAGAGGTGCCGGCAGCCCAGGATTGCAGTTTGAGAGCCCCAAGCTCTTGGGCCCAAATCTTCTTGGGCGCAGAGTCTAAGATGGCGACTCACGTGCGCTTCTCAACATTGAGGTCTTGTTTTCTGCCTACGAGATCTCCACTATAGGAGCTATAGTCTAAACTNNGGGGGTTTCCCAAAATGGGGGTACCCTTTTTGGGGGTCCTTATAATAAGGACTATCGTATATTAGGGTCTAAATTGGGGTCCCCCTATTTTGGGAAACTACCATGTCACGTAGGGTGATGACATGCCTGTATGCATATGTATGTACCTGCCACGAGTATCAGGTTCGAGCCCAAAGGCAAAGGTGGTGCTCCCGCCAAAGGCGCGGGCGCAACAGGATTCTGAGGTGCTCTTTGATTCGGAAATGGGAGTCTTGTCTGTCCAGCTGTAAGAGGGTGCCCTGTTGACCCCAAACAGACAAGTAAAGACCGCGACAGTAGCTATTTCATACTTACTGAGCCGGAGTATAACAGGGGTCATTAAGGAGGATAGTAGAATATAGACCCCATCCTTATAGGAATAACTACTGAGCTCGTGTCTGTTCCAGGGTGGGGAGTATCATCTGCTCCATAGCTGATGGTCCAGTTGTCTGATGCCTAAGTAGAATAGGGTTCACGGTTTAGGATTTAAGGTTTAGGATGTAGGGTTTAGGATGTAGGGTTTAGGATTTAGGGTTTAGGATTTAGTGTTTTGGGTGAGCTTTTGTCTGAACTCCTAGTATCCACCTTAATACCCCCTCAATACTCCTCTATAGAATCCCCTGTAGATCCCCCTTTCAACGAGTTTAGACTATAACTCGTGTAGCTTCTAACTTGCAGCCTGGATTTGCATCTTTTGCTCCCTAGTCCCGACTTTGTGCTGAGCTTGGAACCAAACCCCAACAGCTGGCATGGCGATAGCAACCCGGCGAGTGCCATTGGCTATGCAAAGTCTCATGAGCAAAAAGGATCTCAACGCTCCTGTTGATACGAGGTACGTTCGGAATGACCAGTTTGGTGAGTGTTTGTAGGCCTCCATACAGTTCAGGTAGAACCCCAACAGTGTATGGACAAAGAGATCGCATTAGCGTGCAGAGTTCATGGGAAGACCACGCCCCACACTCATCTCTTTCCTTCTGATCCCCAGTAAACCTGCGATTCAATTCCTACGCTCATCACGCCTGGTGCATAATGGCCGCTGGAGGCTTGTGAGAAGAATGAAACAATGTACAAACAAATATCTGATAATTGTATGTGCAAATGATGTTGCCAGCCTTCAAGCTGTCATACGAGTACCTTCAGTATCCTGCTTATGGGCGCTGGATTTTGAATCTAACTCCACCCCTACAAGCCCCGAAACCCGCAGACCCTCCAACAGGCGGGAAGGCTGAGCGACGGGGAGGATTCGACGGGAAGGGCCGAGATAGTAGCCGGGCAGCAGTTTGTGAAGAAAAGAGGAGAGATTGTGGTCATTGCTAGCGTCGGTAGTAGGAACCAATGACACCTACTCAGGACAGGGTAGGAGGTATGGGATCCAGGTAGGCAAGGCCGGACCTTAACTTGAGCTGGCGGTTAGCCAAGTCCCAATGCCTGGAGGAGTTGTGACAGCCATTTGGGTTCGTGCATGTTGCCGGATTCAGCCCAAGCCAAGATTGGAGAAGCTTGCCAGATCTTTCCTGTGCTAGAAAGTCATCAAACCAGCCCAAAACTGTAGCACTACCTGCAGCTTGTAACGGTGAGGATTGCGTTGCTTGTAAGAACCCACAGCGTCACACTTCCCGCCTTTCCTCCAAGGCGTCAAGGGTCGGGAACCCTTCCGGGAGCCTTTCCGAGAGACCTTCCGCGAGCCCTTTCGAGAGCCCTTCCGAGAGTCTTTCCGCGAACCCCTTCCAAATGCCGGCAAGGGCAGAGGCCCGAGCCCTGACTGCCCTGCGGATCTGGGTCATGCCAATGATTTTTTAACATGACCTGAATAACCTTTTACAACAACCCATAGGAGTTGGATGTTTGCAGAGTCCCCAAATCTGTCCTTCGGAGTATGTTTCCAGGCAGCTGGCATAATGTTTCCGCAACCTTTTGAAATGTAAGATGTTCTTCTTACAGCTACAAAGCTACCTTTCTACTGCTATAGCTGAAGCGACTACCTGCTGTGCTGTCCGTTACTGCTACAGATTTCCTATAGTTGACGCTTCGTGAGTCTCAAAACAAAACATAATGATAATAATAATCATGGTAAGAACAATAACAATAGTATAGTTATTGATATTTTTACTACAATTACTTTTTCTACGCATCTGGCGGTAGTTTACAAAAGGGGGGGATCCCACTGTAAATCCCCAGATATTATAACCCTCATTGAAGGAGGCCCCAACAAAGGTACCTTCAATTTTGGGAAACCCCCCGGTTTGCGTTTGTTTCGTGGAAGGGTTGCGTGCCTAATTGTTGCTGCTGCCATTCTTGCATATCTTCGAATCAATCAAGGGCAAGCAAGATGATGACATTTCCAGAGTAGGGGGCCTTCAGGGGACATAGCAAAGACATAGTGCCATTTGTCTGAACTGTTCTCACCTGGTGGGTTGACCGTTTGAACCGAATATCACCCAGACCTCAAGCCTCAAAAGCCGAACCCTCAGCATCCGCGAACTCCACCCCTGATCGCCATATCTCCCCGAATCCCCCCCCCAACAAGTAGAGAAACAATTCAACTCAATGCATATCAGTCATGTATGCTGTCGACGTAGAGATAGATCTTGTGTTCATGCATGTGTGTTTATTCACGTTTACTCTCTTCATATTTTGTACATGTACATGGGGACAGTTACACATACCTTCATACCTGGGTTACCTACCATCTTTCCACCCATTTATCCATTTGTCTATCTAATTGTCTGTCTGTCTATCTATCTATCTATCTATCTATCTACATGACATATGTAGGGATGCAGATATATGTATATATATATACAAACAAACAAATATTTGTCAATGCTCATGCTATACACATATGCACTTACATGCCCAGAGATGTGTGTGTACTGTACACATGCTCAGACCACATGTACGCGCATGTAGTACATCCATCCATCCATCCATCCATCCATCCATCCATCCATGCATGCATGCATCCATCCATGCATGCATCCATCCATCCATCCATGCATCCATCCATCCATCCATCCATCCATCCATCCATCCATGCATCCATCCATCCATGCATCCATCCATGCATCCATCCATCCATCCATCCATCCATCCATCCATCCATCCATGCCCAACCCTACACCCCTACACCCTAAAACTTTCAAACCTTAAAACTTAGACATTCATACATCGGTACGTACATACATACATACCTACATACATACATACATACATACATACACATGTACATATACATGCATATAGATATATGTAAGTTTGTGTGTGTGTGTATTCATCAATGTACATGACAAGAGGAAGCCCTCCAGGCCGACCCGAGCGGCCTGCAGAGAGATCGGAGCCTGAGTCGAGGGAGCACCTCGAGGCTGCGAAGGGGCCTAGCGGCTTGGGAAGGTGGCTTGGGAAGGTTTATGGATTTAGGGATTTAGGTTTAGGGATTTAGGCTTTAGGGTTTAGGGTTTAGGGATTTAAGGGGTTTAGGGTGGAGGGTTAAGGGATTTTGACTGCTTTGTGGTGTAGTCCATTTCGGGGTTTAGGAGTTCAGGGTTTTAGGGGTTAGGGTTTAGGGCAGGGTTCAGGAGTTTTGGGCTTTGAGGTTTGGAGTGTAGGTCCTGGGGTCAGGGGTTGCGGTGTAGGCTGTGACGGCAGATGGTCCAGGTATGTCTCTATTCGAGCTACTGCCAGCATTAGCCTCATTAAGGGACCCTTGACAGTGGGCGGTTCCTCTTGTAGTTGAGTATAGCCCCTACTCTAGACCCTACTGAGGAAGCCATGTCCATTAACTTATGTAAGAAGCATTGAGTGTAGCTCATATAATCCCCTGAATACCCCTTTAAGGAGTTTAGACCCTGGGCCCTAAATCTAAACCCTAAACTTCACAACCAAGCATTTCCTCCTTTTTCACCCTGCTTATTCTCATGATTCACCACTTGTGAGAGGAGAAGCTTGTTGAGAATTTGGGGGTTAGGGTGGCTGACAAATACTTACAGTAGTTCTATAACTATAATGATACTTGCAGGTAATTAAGATAAAAAAATACTAATGAAAGTAGCTACAATAAGAGTAACAGTTGTAGTAATTGACAACTTGAGAAGATTGAAGACGTTTATCCTCTAACTCCTCAAGCACTGGATCTTAAACTTTTACATGGTGGGTCTGGTAAGAATGGAAAATGGAACTACTCTATACTATTTAGGCTTTGGTGTTTAGGGCCAGGAGGATTTAGTGACTTAGCAAGTAGGATAATCAGGGGGGGTAAGTAGAGTTACCATATGGGCTATAATCAGGTTTTATCAACCTACTTGCTAGCAGCGTGCTTCCCATTTGTGGTCGTGCGCTCAGCCCAGAACTTACAGGTAGTTAGTACGGAATGAAAGCACAGGATACCGGGACCGTTATAGGGGAATATATCGGCAATACCCAAACCCTGAACCCCTAAACCCTAACCTCATAGGGATCCAGTTGAACACGAACCTCGCAGACCAGGGCATGCTGGCTAGCCTGGAACGGCAGATCAACGAGGCAAAGGGGACGCGCATGTTTTTGGAGTGGGGTGGGTGCATGGCAACTTGAGGGACTTGGAAAAAAGGGGCCGACATGCTTGTCGGTATAATTCGTTTATAGCCCTTGCAAAGTTACCCTTTGGGGATCCATCCCAAACCTGCATTCTTGTGCTTCAGGCCCCCGCATGTGGTGTTGCACCTTTCCGATTGTTGGTTTGGGAGTTGAAGCTTCTTCTGTGGTCCCTGGAGCCCATGACCCTGGGGCAGATATTTGGGACTGTCAGCAACGCAGAAGCTTACCGAGAAGGCTGTTACAGGAGAAGGGCTTTGCAGCTGCACCATTTCACTACGCGGAGGGCTTTGTTGCAAAGCCTGTGCCACCTTGTGCCCGCATTCCTGGCCCCTGCAGCCAAGTGGGGCCCAATAACAATCTGCGAACTGATCTCACAAAACGTCCGGGACAGTCCGACATCCCACGAACCAAGCGCGCAGCTCGTTGTGCGATTTGCACGAAGTATCCTGTTCATCGCCCTGTCAGGTAGCCGGAACAAGCAAAAGCAATCTGAAAAATGACCATGTCAAAGGGTGCAATTGAGTCGCTTGAACTTTCAACTCTCAGATGGCTTTGGGAGCATGAGGGACCAGTGGACCAGCCAGCCGCTGACCTGCCAGCCACTGACCTGCGTGTCCTGTGCTGCGAAGCGCAGATGGCGCTGTGTTATTGCCGGGTTTCTGCATCTCGTCAGAATCTGTTCCCAGTGATCTAGCTATTGTAGCTTTCAGTTTCATGTCAGAGAGAGCTGACAGATGCCCGAGGCTTACAGGAGTCCTCGCCTGCGGTGCGCTGCTGGCATATGCCGAGACTCTGGAAGTGGAAGAGGATGACGAGCCCATCAGCCATGTACCATCTGCAAGGGCTCCATCCATACGAGTCATCGCAGAGGAGTCCGACTCCTGGGAAATGAAGTTAGCACCATCCTTGCTCGGAGTTCTGATGGGTCTACTTCTCGCTGTCGTGCACGTACCTGGCAGCGCGGAGCGCACTGCCGAGGGGCGTGCCTGCAAGATAGTAGCCACTGGCATCCTTTTGTTGCAGAGCGCATTCATCGTCGAGTTCCAGTGGCACTGGTTGTATACTCCGTCCAGCTGCAAGGGTGGGATCAGGTACCGATGGCTAAGCATTTTAGACTGCCTTTCGATGGTGGTTCTCGGGCTCTACTGTGCCTATGCTCCCTTCAGAATTTACGTTTGCTTTGCTGAACCAGGAATGGGTCCTCATCTAGCAGAGAGATGGTGTTCTGATTGGGGAGCAGGTGCCGTCAAGCCACATCCTACCTCGGGATATGTCTACGATGCGTTGTGGTGTGTCTACGGTTTCGCCTTCACATCGCTCCTCTACATTGCCATCTGGGCCATTCTCAGCTAGTCTTGCAAGAAGCCGTGTTAGGGAAGTAAGAGAAGTTGGAGTAACCGTGGGGATTGTAGTAAGAGATTGTGAACTCGATTTGACATTAGGTTTTCAGGGGCTATGCGCAGTCAATGCGCAGTGCTCGGGATTGTCGCTCGCTGCCTTAAGATAGACTGCCAGAGCGGACGCAGTCCCCATTCTTTCGACTACTTCCCTCTGCCAATGGTCAGAGAAGTTTTGGAGCTTTCGGGCTAACGGGGCAAGGAGCTTTCGGGTCAGCTTGCAATACAGCTTTGCACTACAAGAGCTAAGTCCTACCATTCAGTACAACCCCACATACGTCTTAGGCCATGGACATCTACATCGAGTGTGACTGGGAGGCCATCAGTCAGTTGACAGCCGCCCTGGCGCTCACCACCGAGGCGAAAACATCGCCTGAGCACAACGTTCAGGGTTTACGGTTTCGGGTGCCAGGAACGGACAGAGCAAGCAACTGCAATCATACGAACAAGGATGGTGGTGGTGGGGTCTGGACAGCGGCAACAGGTCCAGATTCAGGTGTTGCGTATTGCGGTATGTATGGCTGTTGAACAACCGTTTGTTGGTTAAGTGTTTTCTACGGCGTTCACAAAGGCCCGGGCGCGCAGTTGACAATGACTATGCAGGGCTCCATGTTAATCCAAAGGCGTTGGAGGTGTGAGCTTTGCGTCAGGCATCTCCTGTCATATTACTTCTGGACAAGGTTTTTGGTAAGCTTGTTTGGTCAGGAGCGTTCCCATGTACCCGTGCCCTCTGTCCACCTATCTGCAAAAGGGTCTACATGGAGCAGCACGGGTTAAACAGCATGAAATCCTACAGACTCCTTGCCAAACCTCAGCGTTTTCAGCCAAACATGTGATGTGCAAATCCCTGGCTAGCGCGTGCTCTTTCGAACCCCAGCGTTTACAGTAGATGATGTGAATTCTCACCGGGTGAGGTGAGATAAACCCACCTAGGATCCCTTGACAATGCTTGCGTAATTCATGCATTACTCCTCTGTCCTGGTCGCATGAATCCTAAAGCCTTGATGCTGATCCGGCAAAGGCCATCCTCTTTGGCTGGGTCGCACAGCTCTTCCAGGCGCGAATGCAGTCGGCCGGCGACGAGAGCCTCTCGGCTTTCTTATTGTGGGTGTTCCTGTTGTTGCTGGCAAGTTGGTTGTTCTCCTTGCTTCGGTTGGTCTTGTGTTGTATTCTCATCATCAACAACAAGAACACGTACTTCTCCTTTTGCTTCTCCTTCTTCTCTGTCTTCGTCTGCTGAAGTTCAATAATCGCAAGGTCTTGCGAGCTCGAAGGCCTGGGTGTGCCCTGGCAGTCAGAACTTCAGGATAAACTGAAATGCCAAATGCAGTACATTCATTAAGTATAGCAGTATGGGGAGCGAAGGTTGACGCCATGGACTACTACATAGTTTGGGGGGACTGGCCAAGGGTAGGGCTGGACCCGATCACAAAGGGTCTCTGAAACAAGACCTTACGACATTGATTTGAATGGGACAGTCACTGTAGCACGGCCCCTTCAACGTATTGTTGCGAGCTGCGACTGTGCAGCAAGTAAGGTACACGATGGTGGTTATGTTCCAGGCTAATGTGGAGCTGGTGGTGGTTGAGTCGTTTTCCCGCAAAGATGGGCACGCGTTCATGATTCTGCACATTGTTGGCATTGGACTCAAGGTAGTCTTTTTGGTCATCTGGTGCTTCTCTACATATTTGATGGCCCGGAGCCTCTTTCACAGCTCGCGGGTCTTGCGCCTGGAACGCAAGCGGACAAGAGGCGTGGCTCGGCAGCAGGCGCACTGGGCCACTCGAATCATCCGCATGGAAATTGCTGTTGTCCTCACGATTGGCATTACGACCTTTGCCACTTGGCTGGTGGCAGCGGCGTTTTCTGCGATCGACCTGTGCTGCATCAACAACCCCAACTCCGTGGTCTCCTGGTCTCGGCTGCGTACCTTTCTTCACCGTTCAGATGTAATGGTCAATGCCATCGGCATAGCCCTGATGTCTGGTGTACTGTGGCGAGCCCCGCTTCCCACTGCCAATGACCTGGAGAGGGTGGAGGAAATCTCTCGGATGCGGCATGGCAACAGCCTCTCGCATCTAGAGGTCCATGAGAAGGAGGCCTATGAGGCTAAGGCAGAGGAGCTGGCAGGGCGCGGTTTCCACCTCCGATCCCTATTAGAGTTCTGGGATCTGTTGTTGGACCAAACTCTGATGCCTGGCTTCTGCCCCAGTAGCTCTCTGACCGTGGACGTGGTGCGCGGGGCAATCATCCCACTGTCTCGCAAGGGCGGGGGTGGGGTTGCTCTTGCTACGAAGTGGAATTGTGAGCAGGCATTGGTTCCCCAATGCATGGTTACACATTCCTGGTCCAACAGCTTCATCAACTTGTCTGCAGCAATTGTGGGAGATGCTCTTGGCCTGGAGACTTATGGGGACATCACCCGGCGCCTGTGCACCAAAGCCGGCCTGTCCACAGTAGTGTCCGAGCTGCAAGCAGCGGAAAAGCTGGACTCAACTTACTGGGTCTGCGCTTTCTCCATCAATCAGCATGCTACCATTTGCAGTAGTTTCGGACCGAGCCCGCCATGGGGCACTGCTGCATGGATCGCTTGGGATAGAAAGACGCGCGACTCCGTCACAGGAATACGATATCCTCTCTGCACATGCCGGGAGCCGAAGACCTTCGATGACTTTGTGACCTGTGAGGTCAACAAGTTTGATAGCACCATGTCCCTTCTGGCTCGTGAAGTGGCCAGTGTGTCGCAAGTGGTGGTCGTCGACCCTCAGTTTGACGTGCTGTTTAGGGCTTGGTGCGTGGCAGAAATTGTTGAGGGCAACATACTTGGCATCCCGGCCCGGATCTCCGTGCAGTCCCGAGATGCGGTAGACGAGAACTACGACCGGCTCTCCCTGCTGGACGTTCGAGCGTGCGAAGCCTCTGTGCAGAGCGACAAAGACATGATTCTCTCCAAGATCGCCGACGTTGATGTTTTCAACCTCAGGCTCAGGGAAACATGCAGAAATGATGTCAGGGTTCTCGAAGGGAAGCCCTCCTCGGCAGACTCCGGACTTGAGAGAGGCGCAAGCAACAACAGCTAAGTTCCTCCCTGACCTTGAGGCTTCAGCAGCTGGTTTTCAGCGCGCAGGGCCTTTTTGGCGGATGGTCCCTTGCCTGCCAAGCGCAAGCAGATTCAGGCAGTCGGTAGGTCGAGGGATGGTTTTGATGACTTGGGCTGGGGATTAGGGTTTCCCAAAATTAGGGATACCCTTTTGGGGGTCCTCATAAAAAAGAATTATAGTATTTTGGGGATCTATATTGGGGTCCCATTATTTTGGGAGACTACCATATATAACACCTGGGGTGAAGGTTGAGTGCTGAACCGTATGCTTCCCATTCCAGGCGCCTGCAGCGCTGGAGGTCTCCCATGCGATCCCTTTTCCATGCATCCTAGTACAAAGATTGACCACCCAATAGAGTAGAGTGCATATTATGTGGACCTCCAGAACCATGCTCCTAATTTTGGAAACCCTAAACCCTAAGAAGTAGTTTCCATTTTCTTTTCCATTATCTCTACAAAATATTACCCCTATATAATTCCTATATAGTCCCTATATACTCCCTAGATAGTACCTATGTAACCCCTAAACCACACACCAGCTCTCATGACATCCCCCCTAAACCCGTAAACCCTAAATCACACCAGCTCTCATGACATGGTCGCAGTCCAGGAAGGCCAAGGGACCTAATAAGTAGGTTAATAATGGGGATAACTAAGGTTATTATATGTGTTATAGATGTTACTAACCTACTTACTAAGTCCCCCTAAAAGCCTTAAACCCTAAAGACCATAGTAGTTTCCATTTTCTTTTCTATTATTATCCTACTTACTAAGTCCCCCTGATCCTCCAAGTGACGACCTTAAACCCTAAACCCTGAACCCTACAGTGAAAACCAAGGTTGGACGGAATTGAGCGCTCCAGGCACGTCGCTACCATCGTGCGGCGGTCGACACAGCCTCACTGTCTTCACTTAGCAATCATAATGTGAACCGTAGTCTAAACACCTTAAAGTGGGTTATATAAGGGGCTATATAGGGGACTACTACAGGGGTTACTCAGGGGGATACTCGGAGTCTAGACAATGGCTGATGTGAAGTTCCAACTGCGTTGCTTTGAAATTGTTATCATTGTGAAGGAGGTTAGTAGCCATGCCGCGCTGGAGCCCGGAAACGTGAGCATGCGGTGAACACGGCTTGTTCCGGTAAAAGCCTGGCCTATGCTACAGTACCACTGACATGCGCAAGTGCATGTCTGCGCACGTCGGATCTTGAAGATTTGTGGCGGGGTCTACTTGGAGGGTCAGGGGGACAGTTGGTTAGCGACCCCTGTAACCCATTTGGTAACCATGGTTATCCCCATTATTAACCTACTTATCAAGTCCGCCTGACCCTAAACCCTAAATGATATATAGAGTCGAGTCGCTTCCATTTTCTTTTCCATTCTTACTAGACCCTCCTACTTGTAGAGTGTGGGGGTCGCCTACACCCTACACCCTTTGAGTTCTGGGGTCTGGAATTCATCATGGGTTCCCTTACTACCCCTCTCGATACTTCTATACTACCCCCTTGGTTCCCAGCTTACTGGTGCCAATCCCAGGTGCTAAGCCCTCGCTCCTGCAACACTTAATTATAGCTGTGAAGCTGTCCCTCGCCGCAAGGTTTCACGGGCAGGCTCTTGTTTTGTAATGCGTGATGCACTCTTCGGGCTTGAAGCCACCAGTTGAGCTATTGTCTAAACTCCTTAAAGGGGGTATATACAGGGGCTTATATAGGCGGTTATTATAGGGGCTTTGAAGGGCTCAGCTGACATCCCTTCATCCCCTACATCTAGAAGCAACCCCTGCTCCCCTGGATGTAAGGCAAGCCTTACAAGACCTTAGGGGGTAGGGTGCACGGGGTTAAGGGGTTTAGGGGTTAGGGTTTAGGGTTAAGGGGTTTAGGGTTCGAGGTGCGGATGGGAATAAGGTCGCTGAAATTGGCGGAGAAGACGATGCCAAGGATTTGTTGCTCAGCTCTACAGTCGTTGTTGCCTAAACCTTAATAACAATCACGATGAGAAATGATAACCATCTGTGCTGCCAGTCGTAAAAGAAGTAAATGGTAAGAATACTACTGATAGCAATGAGAAAATGGTATTCCACCCTAGACCCTAAACCCTAAACCCTATTCATTTCCACGTCCGCGAAGTCTCCGACTCTGCAGGGCATCGGAGCGTTAACCACCCCCACCCCTCCGCCTGATAAGAAATGTTCCCGATGTATTATATGAGCTATAGTCTAAACTCCTTAAAGGGGGTTATATAGGGGACTACTATAGGGGAGATTAAGGGGGATACTAGGAGTTTAGACAGTAGCTCATATAATATACCAGACTTTCAGCGGGTTGCGAGCGAGTTGTCCTACATCAACTGGGCGGCTTGCCTCTAGGCGCTGTATTCTTTGTTTTGGAGGCGGGTGACCAGGTAAGTTGAATCAGCTGCTGAATGCAATCTAAGAAGAATGAGTTGTAATTAGAATTGGCAACAGGATGCGGTAAGTATCAATTTGTTATTGTCTGCTATCAAGGCTAAAGTTGTTTCAAAGCAAGTTGTTTGCAATTTACGTTGTTGAAATTTGTATGCTTCCTGCATTGCCGCACTCTTTGGTATGGACTTTTGGTAATGCAGCTCCCATGCACCGACAGTGGTTGCCACACATATGGCCGCATCCAGTATCATTGTTTCTGCCGTGTTGGCTCGCAGTCGGAGCTTTTTTGTTACTAGTGGGGATAGTCCTGCCTGGCATGTGGGGATTGGGTTTAGGGGTATATAATATAGGGATATATAGGGACATTATACCCAATAATGGAGAATCAAATGGAAAAGAAAATGGAAAATGAAATGGAAACTAGGGTTATAGGGGTGCATAGGGGTATATGGGGTTTGTCCTAAATTACTGTCAATACGGGGTCCTATACTTAGGTTCCTATTATAATACGGGGCCCTATATAAATTTCCCCCATTCTGGGAACAGTAATGTAGGGAAACTTCCTAGTGTTGTTGTGGTCGTGGGGCTTGTTGTCACCAAGTACATTTGTGATTGTCACTAGTGTTGTCGGCACTGCTTGTGGTGGCAAACTGGCTGCCGCCAAGCCTTGATACTCTTACTTGTTATACTTACTAGGGAATTATCAAACACATTATATAGGCATTTTATGAAGATGATACTCCCTTTTTCCTACTAAGAACTAGTAAGTACTGGGTGTCATCCACGTGCTGGACATGGCTGTTCGTCGTTGGGATAGAGCTTCTTCGTTTCAGCGTCATCCTCATTACGCATTGCAATCACGATTCTTGTTGTTGGAACACTTGGAGACCTTGGAGCACTTCCAAAAAAAGCTGTGGCGCGTGGATTCTTGTTGTCGGGTGAATTCTGCTTTCTTTAGCATTACGGGGTCTGTATAAAGCTTAAATGCAAAACTGGAAACTGTAACCTTAAGCACCAAAAACCTCAATCCCAAACCCTAAACCCTAGACCTTCAGTCCTAAACCACGTACCTTAGGTGGACCCCCCACCCTGCAATAGTGACTATAGAGGATAATAGGGATGATATTAGGGTCCTCTTATATTCCTATTATACCACTATTACAGGGTGGGGGCTCCTCCTAACACAATCCTTACCTAACCCCTTCTAAACCCTAAACCCTATATATGTACTTAAGGGGGACTATACCCCAAAACGAAGGCTGCTTTAAGCGGGCCTCGAGCAGTGAGTCCTCTGAGTCCCCGAGCTCCGAAAGTGAGACATCCTGCGGAAGTACCGTCTGAGGGAGGACAGGTTTAGGGGTTTAGGGTTTAGGGGCTTAGAGCTCAGGGTTTACAAGTCCAAATGGAAATGAGGACCGAATTTCCACAGGAAATTGTGGTTTTCTTTGGCTAGTCGCGGGAAACTCGCAATGTACTAGCTTTTCAGATGCGGGTACAGGCTTGGAGTACAGACCTTTTGCAGCAGATGATCCGTTATGTAAATAGCGGCTTTGCCCGAGGCACCAGTTTTTCCACAGTTTCACCCATTGTTGAGAGACAAGTTCCCAACAAGCGAGCTATAGCGAAAAACTCCTTAGAGGTGGTTAGGGAGTATTATAGGGGAGAGTCAGGGGGATACCAGGAGTTTAGACTATGGCTCAAGTGGGTGCGCTTCGAGCAAGCAGCACGCAAAGTTGAGTCAACAATGCTGCAAAAGCATTGCATAGTGGCACAGAGCTGCAGTTGTAGTCATGCTGTTGCACGCAGAGGCGATGCAGAACAGCAGTGGCAGCATATCTTTTAATAAGGACATTGAAGCAGCTTGGTTGCAACAGCGAATGTAAGCTGGGGTACATACCCTTTAGCCTGAATCCAGTATATCTTCGGATAAGGAATAGATGAGGGTCCTCGAAAATTCCTATTATAAAAACACTATTATAGGGTAGGGGGATTCCTCCTAAGGAATAGCTCTTCAGCCCCTTTGAAGAGACTCATCGCCTCTGTACTTCTCGGCCGGCCGGATACTTGGCTCCGAGCTGTCAATTCCTTGGGTAGTGCGCCCAGTCAGTAGCAGTTGAACCGTAGCTGAAATTTGGATCTACAAAGACATACAGCCCACATCCTTATTACTGGGACCCCCAAAATGGTACCTCTAATTTTCGGAAACCCCCATATGAGCTTCCATGTTAGTCCTACTACAAACTGTTACTAGATGGGGGCAGTAGCCAGTCTATACCCCAAATCTTTCGGCGCGCGGCCGAAAAAAGGCTACGTCCGCAACATCTGGACTGAGATCTGAGCTACGCACCCATAGAACCTTGTAACCCTTATATCTAAGGACTTTAGGGGGGACTCCTAATAGGGACCCTTGTAGCTTATGGGGGGTTAATATGGGATTGTGCGCCAGTGGTGGTTCAGAAAAGCTTCGGTTTTGAAGCGCGAAGCTCCGAAGCCACTTGCTTCATTTTTTGGGGGGCGAATCGCGAAGCCACTTCCTTCATTCTTAGGGGGCGAAGCGCGAAGCTCCGAAATTACTAGCTTCACTTGCTTCAGGGCTTCGGGCGAAGCCACTTGCTTGAGTTTTACGGGCGAAGCTCCGAAGCTACTAGCTTCACATGCTTCAGAGCCCCGGGCGAAGCCACTTGCTTCATTCTTAGGGGGCGAAGCGCGAAGCTCCGAAGCTACTAGCTTCACTTGCTT